CATGAAAAAGAAATTGAAAAATAGTTAACACAAGGGCAAAAAATAATAAACATAAGATGCATCGTAAAACATATGCGAAACACGTACTTGTTAGTCTGCTGTGGTGTGTTCATCCACTTAATTTGAAAATTTTCCACAGACCTTTTCCCATAAAATTTATTGTGTGCCCCAAAATCTAAGCATTTGAGACAGTGTGGGATCAACCGGGCATAATTTCTGACATGTTCAAGCGCACGTTCATATGTTACACTGCCCATGGAATCATACACATTTATAATTTTATCTTTAAAGTCCAGAATTCCAAAAAAGTAGTGCATAGATGTCTGGCCCGTCCTTCGCTTAAGTCGAAATGGAAAGAATACTTTTCTGGCAGATGTCTATGAGATACCACAGGAAAGGTCGAGGCCTTTTACGTAGTTGGCCATCTTTTCATTCGTTGATTCTTCCTCAAACCAACTAAAGTCTGTAAGTGGCTGAATAACCGCTTCTTCTTCTTCTTCTTCAGCCTGTTATTTGGATATCTTCTTTTTCTTTGATTTGCTCTTTTTTTGATCCTCCATTCTCTTTTGCTTCCTTTTTTAATTATCTCCATCTGTTCTACTGAAGGATAACCAGCCAGCTTAGTAATATACTGATCAAAAAGTAAATTTGTTACTGCACATCTTAATTTTGGATAACCTGGAAGGTGATAGCAATATTTTTTGTGTAAGTAATATATGTCCACTTCAATATGCTGCAAATGAACAACAACAAATGATAACATGTGAAATAACAACTTCAACATACATAACCATGAAGTTTAGAAAAAACGCATTACAAAACTACAAATAGCATGACAAAAACTTAAGCATATTCAGTTTGAAGTGTTAGGCTGAAGTTTTAGCAAATAAACTAAAAAAATTCAACAGTTTATTATGAATAAAGCTGAAGTTTTCAAATTACAGTACAAAAACTTTACTATAAAAAATAAGCTGAAGTTTGGGAAATACAGTTGAAAACCAATTCAAAAAACAAACTTAATAACTTACTTCATCCACAAGATCAGAGTTAGCATCCATAAGCGCGATAAAGAATGATTTTGCAATATCAACTCTAGCTAATCTCAATCGATTGGAATCATATTCACTGACATCCATCTCCAACCACTCTGTAAATCTTTGCATCAATCTACTATCTTGATTAACATAATGGAAGGGACACCTTCGTGTATTCTTTCCTACTTTCTAATCTTGCCCCCTTTGCTTTTGTTTATGAACTACATAAGGAGATCTCAACCAAATACTCCCCATACGAATCCTTTTCCCTTTTTTATCTGGTTTTCCTTTTGCTTGCTCTTCCTGTTATTCCATCACAACTAACTGCTGATGTTCAGCAGCAGGGGGGAAACCACAGCCATCGTGGCAGATGCTTGACCAACTCCCTACTGTTCACGATGTTCTTGGCTCTCTTCACGAACAACAATGGCAGCAGAATTACCTTCTGAATCAGTCCCTTGTGTACTACCAAGTGAAAATGAACATAAATTAAAGTTGGGGATATCACCGGTGTCACACATAGGAGAACTGGAAATCTTCCTTCTCTTAGGATTTGGAAGAAGTTGCGATGCATCAGATGAGATCTGCAAAATAAAGGAAAATATAAACATAAATAAAACTAATACAAAACACACATTAGGCAAAAAAACAGCTTGTACTCGAATTGCAGAAAATAATTACCTGGTCTAAGTGTTGAGACACAGATGGTGTTCGCATTCCAACAGATCTTGTATCTTCATGCAAAAAAAAATCTAAATAATACTGACTAAATTTTATGAAATAATACAAACACACTTCAAACCTGTACGTGAGGCAACAGGTGTGAATATATGTATTTCTCCTTTTTGATATAGCTGCATAAGCTCACCAAATTCTTTTTGAGCTGCCTCGAGTCTTTCTAAAAAATAATTCAAAAATATAACAAAGAAAATAAAGTATGTAAAATTTCAAACTGTAAAAAATATACTTCGATCAAATATAATAAATTCATGATCTATAGAATACATTGACGTTTGTCTTCCGCTGTGGTTTCCCCAGGCTGCATGCCTTTCTCGATATCAGCATTTCCAGCTTCATTCAATTGTGAACCAACGTCGAGGAGCATTGGAGTATTCTCTGGAAGGTTTTTCTCAACTCTACCTTCATTCAATTCAGCATCATCAGAGAGTTTTTGAGTTGTGTCAATTGAAGCACAACTAGTTTCAACTTCCACTGCATATTCATAAAGAGGGTGAATAGATCAACTAGTTTTTCTATATATATAACATAGAAAAATTTTATACCTGTAGTGAAAATTTCACTACAGGATATTATAAAAAAAATAGTTAAAACTTCAACTCTAAGAAGGTTGAAGTGCGCCAGTCACAAACAAAAACTTCAACAGTTACAAAAAAAAAAATTCAGCTCGACAGTTACAAAAACAAAAACTTCAGCTCTAGAGCTGAAGTTCACCAGTTACAAAACAAAACATTCAGCAAAAAAACATGCTGTAGTTTTTACAAAAAACACAAAACATGAAACAAAACTTCAGCTCCTATCTAAGGTATCATTGAACTATTATAAACTTCACACTTTATACCTGTAGTAACAATTTCCTGTATATCACCACCTAGAAGTTCTTTGCAAATAGCTAGTGCTCTTGCATACCGATCGTCTTTCCCAATAGTGCTAGACACATCACTCACTTTCAATTCTAAAGTAAACAGGTGCTTGATCTCCATCGCCAAACAAATTACCTTTTGCGATATCACTTTCCAAAGCACAACTCGATGCATGTTTTTCAGTACCAACAACTTGATCATCTGCACCTTTCTCAGTTGTTTAACTCTTCATCATTTCCATTTTTACTCTACCTACAAACACTAGATTGTTCCTCTCTACCTTGTTGTTGAACATGTTCATCGCCTTCAACAACCGCTTCCTTACGTGTAGCATTATCATCTGCGACTTTACGCAATGCATCATGAGCAGTATGTTCTTCAGTCTCAACAACTTGATTATTGGTACCTTGCTTGCTTCCAATATTCTCAGTTGATAACTGTGCTTCATCATTTCCATCTTTACTCAATCTATCAGCACTGGAACGTTCCTCTTCAACTTGTTCTTGAACATGTTTATCGCTTTCAAAAGCCGCTTCCTCACGTGTAGCATTTACATCTGCATCATCAACAACATTAATATCCGATGGATGTTCGTAACAGTCGTTCACCCTATCATATTCTCGATGGTTACTCAAATCAAAATAGTCATCGTCCATTCTATTTGATTTGTTGACAATCTTAAACAACTGTTCAAACTTCTCATCGAAATATTCCTAGAAAAAAATTACTAACAATGATTAATCTGAATAACATCAGTAGAAATAAAAAGACTTCTCTATAAATTAGCTTACCTTCACTTTTACAAAAACTGCATCCACAATAGCAGATCGCTCCTCCTTTTTAAACTTATCGAAAACTTCTTTTACGATCGTTCTTCTTTCTTTTTCTGCATTCCTTTGAACCTCCATCGTTAACCTCTAGAATATACGCACAACAAAAATTCAGATATAGAAGAAACTTTAGCTCAAAAACATGTTGTACTTTTACAAAAACAAAACCAAAAAACTTCAGATCAAAACTTACAGAACATATTGTGTCGAGTAATTCATTGTCATCAAAGTCAGTTGTAGAACGGTTAGAATGACTCTAGGTACGAGATGATTTGCCAATAAAAGGAGTTCGATTTGCTTCTTTTGATCGACTCCGACTACATGGTGATTCACCAATAATAGGAGTTCGATTCACTTCTTTTGATTGACTCAGAGTACGTGGTGATTCACCAGTTGAAGGAACCACATTAAGTACCTTTGAACGAATCCGGCTACATGGTAATTGTCCAATTAAAGGCATTGAATTCAATTCCTCTTCTGTAGGAATTATATCCAATACCCTAAAGTTGTGATATCTCTGTTTAATACAAAAAAGTATATTATGAGAAGAAAAAAACAAATACATCAACATATTAACACAAAGACAAAAAAAAGTAACTTACTTCATAACTACTGAACATATCAAAAAGTTCGGGAAATTTAGTGTCACGACCCTAAACCCGGACCCGGTCGTGATAGCGCTTCTCGTGAAGACAAGGCTAGACAACTAGTCCCAATTCAATTTTTAAATAGTTAAACATTAATAAACAGTCTAAGCATGAATAAATAAACCAAAGACTAAGCAAAAGATTTTATAATGTACGGAATACAGCCCAAACACAGCCCGATACCGGGGTGTCACAAGTCATGAGCATCTACTAGGGTCTAAATACAACTGAAAAGTCTGAAATGTACAAAATACAGACTAATAAAATAAAGTGGGAGAAAAGCAGTACTGCGAACGCCAGCAGCTACCCTGCTAAACTCCAATGACTCTGCCTCTGATCAACCAATACCCGTCACCGGGTTCAGAAATACCTGAATCTGCACACAAGGTTCAGGGAGTAAAGTGAGTACTCTAACTCAGTGAGTAATAATCATAACTAAAGTCTGAATGGTAAGAAATCATGAAAAGTGCATCAACATGCTATATAAAAGCAGTACAAAACCAGTAAAAAGCAATGAAGCTGAAAAATCTCTTAAAAACATCTTAGCTCAGTTTAACTTCTTTGAAAATGACTTTTCAACAGTTGCGCAAATGAATGCCAAACAATTAGTGCAGATAAGCACAGAAAATCTGTCCCTCGGGCACAAATACACAATTAAACAGGTAAATGATAGGCAAATAAGAAAGATAAGCACATAAGGTTCGCCCCTCGGGCACAGTGTCAACAATCCACCCCTCAGGCAATATCTCAGAACAATACCAGCCCCTCGAGCAATCACATAGAACAATACCAGCTCCTCGGGCTATATCTCACATCACAATGGGTACCCGCGCTCACTTGAGGTGTGCAGACTCCTGGAGGGGCCCCTTACGGCCCAAGCGCAATATCAAGCCACCTCGTGGCATCATAAACAGGCTCTCGGCCTCATATCAATAACAAGCCACCTTGTGGCGTATAATCTCAGGCCCTCGACCTCATAATCAATATCAGTATATCACCGCTGCGGCATGCAGCCCAACCCAGAAGATATGCTCATAACACAGGCCCTCGGCCTTACTCAGTCAAAAATCATATAAGCCTCTCGGGCAACAGTAAAACAGTGTTTCTCAGCCCAAAACATCATTTAAATATCATTTGAGCATTAAAACTAAGTGAACATGGCTGAGTTTTGAAAAACAGTGGAAAATAACATGACTGAGTTCAAGTATAAAGTCAAAACAGTGAGGCAATATCAACATAAATCCCCGAAGGGTTCACATAGCTGGCACCTGGCCCAAATATGGCATTCAACCCAAGTAATGATGATAGCAAATAGTTTTTCAATCAAATACGCGGTAAAATCATCAATCGGGACGGACCAGGACATAATCCCCAATAGTGCACGACCCCACGCTCGTGATTAAGCGTATGCCTCAACTCAATATAGCACTACGATGTGCAATCCGGGGTTTCAAACCCTCAGAACATCATTTACAATCATTACTCACCTCGATCCGGTCCAAACTCTAGCCCGCGATGCCTTGCCCGCACGAATCGACCTTCAGATGCTCCAAATCTAGCCACAATCAGTACATAATCATTAAAATATGCAAAGGGAACGAAGCCCACTCGAAAATATCCAATTTTACATCAAAATCCCGAAATTGCTCAAACCCGACCCCCCGGGCCCACGTCTTGGAATCCGATAAAATTAACATCAATGGAATCATCATCCTCATACGAGTCTATACATAGCAAGAACATCAAAATCGGACCTCAAAATGGCCCCTCAAATCCCCACTCAAAGTTCTCTTAATCTCAAGCCCTAATTACCCATTTTTGCTACTGATTTTTCCATGGATTTCAAGCTTACAATGATAGAATTCATCATAGAAACAAGTTTAGGGACCAAAAATCTTACCTCCATGAAATCCTCTTGAATTCCCTCTTCAATTAGCTCTCCCAAGCTTCAAAATTGCCCAACAATGGAGGTACTTAGCCTCAAAATCGCGGAATAGCCCTTTTTAAATCATTCTGCCCAGGCATAAAAATCCTTCTTCACGAACGCGGTCAAAGCCTCGCGTTCGCGAAGCACAAAATTACTTTGACCAAATTTCCTTCACCGCGAACGCGTCCTACCATTCGCGAACGCGAAGACTTGGCTCCCTAACCCAACGCGAACGCGACTCCCTTTCCGCGAACGCGAAGAACAAATAAATCCTCAAACCCAGCTGCTCACTTCCCCTACACGAATGCAGAGCCTCCCTCGCGAATGCGATGCACGACGAACCCAGCCCTTCGCGAACGTGGAGCCTCCCTCACGAACGCGAAGGCTAAAATCTCCACCTCACCAGCTAACCCTTCACGAACGCGAGGGCTTACTCGCGAACGCGAAGGCCAAATGCCTGCAGCACTGAACAGAAATTTTCTGCAACTTTGCAAAACATGAAATGGTCCGATTGACCACCCGAAACTCACCCGAGGCCCTCGGGACCTCAACCAAACATGCCAAAATATCCCATAACCTCATTCAAACTTGTTCCAACCTTCGGAACATCAAAACTACATCAAAACACCAAATTCGCATCGGATTCAAGCCTAAGAATTTCAAAACCTTCTAAATTACGCTTTCGATCAAAAACCCAACCAAACCACGTCTGAATGACCTGAAATTTTGCACACACATCCCAAATGATACAATGGAACTACTGCAACTTCCTAAAATCCATTCCAACCCCTATATCAAAATCTCACCTATCAACCGGAAAACGCCAAAACCTCAATTTCGCCAATTCAAGCCTAAACCTTCCACGGGCTTCCAAAATGCATTCTGATCACGCTCCTAAGTCCCAAATCACCCAACGGAGCTAACAAAATCATAAAAATTCTGATCCGAGATCATATACAAACAAGTCAAATCTTGGTCAAAACTTTCAAATTTCAAGCTTCAACTGAGGACTGTTTCTTCCAAATTCATTCCAATTACCCTGAAAACCAAAACTAACGATTTACATAAGTCATAATACATCGCACAGGGCAGGTCACACTCAAGAACTGACGAGCAAAGTGCAAAAACTCAAAACGACCGGTCGGGTCATTACATTTAGGCTCTCACACACATACATAACGTAACATCCTGGGAACCTGGGGGGTATCAAGGTACTCATCCTCTCTTATATACTTCTCCCGAATATCTGGGAAGTGCTCATAGAACCAAGCACATAACGGATATGGAAATCCATCAAGTTTATACTCAGTTGAACGTAATTTGTTCTGCTTGTCCAATGCATGTTTTAGTGAGTAAATGAGCTTCTCATAAGCCACATTACCCCAAGGATATTCAGCACAAACCTTATCATCTTCAACAATAGAAGCATACTCCTCCATCACAGATGACTCGGTCTTTTTCCCAAACAAAATAGACTCTACAACAAGAATTTTCATAAGCTTCACATCATCATCGTCGCTCTCGCATACGTGTATGTGATTCACGGCATTCTTTGGAATTTTATTCCGAGTCATAAAATCTCGAATATCCTTCAAAGTCACACCCTTGGACTTACCAAAATAACGCTTCAGAATATTGATCTCTCGATTAATTAGTTTTTCAACTTTATGTATTGTGATCCGCAAACTGCACATAATGTGAAAGTCTTCAAGGGTGAAGGAAACATCATGGCCAAAAATCTTGAAACTAATGGAGTCTCGATCATTGGTGAATATTCGAGAAAGACACAAACAATGAACCAACTTCATGCTGCATTTGAAATTCTCCATAGCCATAATGTATCGAAATGTACCATTATTAAGCCTATCCCATTGTGTAGGAATCAAGAAATTTGCAATTAAACTCTTCAAATTGTGGTTCCCCTTCAAGTAACCCTTACAGTTAAACCAATCTCGAAACTCAAAATATCTTTGCCCTGGTCTTATAGGTGGAGGAGCAGGGATATAAGGACCTTGGGGTATTATAGGTTGTCTAGGTGCTTTAGGTGCTTTAGGTGTTATCTGTTCAAAAAAAGTAAAATATACAAAAAATAACATCACGACATTATCAAAAAAATTAGTTAAAACTTCAATCTCTAAGAAGGCTGAAGTTCGACAGTTACAAAACAAAAACTTCAGCTCTAGAGCTGAAGTTCACCAGTTACAAAACACAAAACATTCAGCAAAAAAATATGTTGTAGTTTTTACAAAAAACAAAACACAAATTCAAATCCAAAAATAATGTCAAAACATGAAAAAAAAAAATCAGCTCTTATCTAAGGTATCATCACTTTAATAGTATCATCTATTTAACTCTCAAAATTATTAAAACTTTGGACATCTAATCACTGAAGAATTTATAGAATTTTCATCAACAACATAAAAACTCGTTCAAAAAATCTAAAAACACAATCATAAAAGTAAAACTAATGCACTTATCAAACTAAAACCCTAAGAAACTATTTAATCATAAATACATGACTATCAAAATCAAAACCAGAAATAAAACCTAGAAAGTTAATGCAATGTACCTGTGATTAAATCGTAATGTGGGAATAACGACGACTAGCAGTTGAAAAATCAAAACAACGATAAAAATCGTTTGATTTCATAGAAGAACAAATCAAAAAACGCGAATAACGGGAGAGAGAGACAGAGACAGTAGAGGACTAGCGTATACTTGAAGAGAAAGTAGTCTTTTAATAAAGAAGGGCAAAATAGTTTTTTTAAAGGCTTTTAACATAAAAACGAGTACGGGTGCAAACAGAAAGACAAAGCTGACTGCGGGTTAAAAAGGGGCGCCAATGCAATTTTTACCTTGGATGTTATGATGAATTCTTGAATGGACTTCTAAATTGACGAGGCCCATTTGCACTCCAATCAAGATCTAGGTTTAAGGGTATGTAGTTTTATTATTTTAGCCGTTATTGTTAATATATATTTCTTATTCTAAATTCTACCATACATAAATTAGCGTCTAAATTCTCACATAAGTTATGTAATGCAGGGTACTAGAACTGCAATATAAGTTATGTAATAAGGGGACGTTTGGTACGACTATAAGTTATATATAGATTATAATGGAGGAATTAATTATGTAGGGAATAGTAATTATACATAGATTATTTCTTATAAGGTGTATGGTTCATTGCACTAAAATTAGATATACAAATATCATTTAAATATTTATTTATTTTTTAAACTAAAAAAATAATGAGTTTACAATTATACCTTTGAATACTTGACCTTCATTGGCTTCCAAGGAAAAGACAGGGTAATTTTGTCCTTTTTGTTTTTTATTATGTATAAGTATACAAAAATTAGTTATTTCATGTTGTTAGTGGTATAAGATAATGTATAAATTGGTGTATTAAATTATATATGGATTAATTATACATGATTCAAAATCTACATCAAATATTAAATAAAATTATGCAAAGTGATATATCGTGATTATTTTCCTTATACATCATATCACACCGCCCTAAAGATTATCTTTCTATTCGTCGGTCACCATTCGATTTAAATTATGAGAGTTGATCCTAATACTTTTTATTTCAAGTATTTTTCACTTACATACATTACTCTTTAAGACAAGAAAGAATCATATGTCTTTAACATTTCTATGCACAAAAAAAAAAAATGTGTATAATCACGGAATAAAATGAATTAGTTAAATTATCAAAGCAAGGCGAAAAACAGCATATATAGTCATCCCTTTTTATGGAAAACTAATCTTTGTCGGTATATATATTTTTCACCGACAAAGATAGTCATCATTTATTCTTTCGAACCCCACAATATATTAATCATTTTGGCATACACTAATGCAAATTTTTTTTTTTCGCTAGGTGTCCCTTTCAAGTTGTCTAATCCAATAACAACCAATACTAGAAAATCAGAGAATAAAGACAAATCTTTTTATTCCATATCTAGGAGCTTGAATCAAGAATATGATCCAAAATTTTAATAACAACTATGACAGTGACAACAGCTTATTAGCAGGAGCTTAGTTAATATCACGCTTATTATCAAATTCATGACCAAAACCTTAGTATAATATTTTTTTCAAGAAATAATTAGCCGACATTACTGATATTAAGAGGTTATCTTAATGTTTTTAGCGGAAAAATTAGCCACAAGTATTACTGTGTTAGGTTTATAGTTTCTCTTATTATTCTTTTTGAGGTGAGGGTAAGCAGTAAAAACTTGCCTAGGTCGGTGTTGACACAAAATTATATTAGTTTATCATCGATAATTAAGAGATATATTGACGTAAAAATATACATAATTTAACTATGGGTAGAGGCGGGTCTGCAATTTGAATTTAATGAGTTCAACATTTAAGGTTTTTAACTTTAGATTCATTGTATTTCTGAAATTATGAAATTAAATTTAATAATATTAAAATGTTAATTTCTTTTCACATCTTTTTAAACTTTATATTAAAACACTGGGTTCCAGCAGCACAAAAATTACATCAATATAAGTGTGTAAAAATAGTTTTTTACCGAGATAAGCACATCAATAGTGAATTAGTTTGTAGTTCAAAACGTCAGATATTTTTTATTATTTCTTATTTGTTTTTTTTTTGTTGTTACAACTTATGACGGTCCTCGGAAGAATATAATTACCTAATCGAATTGTGGATAACTATGCTGTCCATTTTTGTTTTACTGTATTTTTTTTCTTTTGGGGCATTTTAAGAAGTGGAACATTTGGCATTATCAAGAACAAGAACCTAATTTTGGATGGTTTTAGGGTTTGTCGATTCTATGTAGTATTTTAATGCTTGTAATATATACTACATCTTGGAAATGTGATTAGGATGTAAGGAGAGAACAAGAAGAATCAAAACTGACAATCTTTGTTTTTGGTTAAGAGGACGAGATTTAGATTGTGACAATAATTAAATAATCCAATAAAGAATAATGATAGTAGTTATTGGATTCGACTTACTAGTTGTCAATTCGTACACTATATTCTAATATTTCAGAGGATGATTCCTATAACCACAGCAACAATACCAAGAATAACAGTAAAATGTTGGGATAAATCAGATAGGCAAATTCCTTTTGTGAGATTTTTAAGTTGTCACATACCATATACTAGTAGAATTTTGTCCCTTTCTTCTTCTATACCATTTCAATTTTGTAATTCTTAATGTATAGATTCCCCAAGTAAACTTGGGTTTTGTGCCCTTTTCAAGGTTTCAACTCTTTTAATACATTTAGGCCCAAAAATGAAAAGAAAAGATATTACACCATTTATCTTAAAATTATGTTTTGGTTTCATCAAGGAGAAGGTGAGGGTGAAGGTGAGAAAAATACATTCGTAGGCTTTCTTGAGTATTTTATATTCTACTTTTCTTTCTTTCTATTTTAATAAGCAATAGATACTAGCATGGTAGGCCACAAATTGAAAGAATTTGCACCTACTTTAAGACTTCTCCTTCACTAAATTTACAACTTGACTTTCTTTATATATTAGTAATTACTAATTTTGACGTCAAAGACTTGATTCAATGGTCAAGTATCTGGTAAACTCGCCAGTCCCAATATCATATCACACGTCTTCAGTCCTTTGAGTCAAGTTTATCGTTCTCCAAAAATACTCTCTCAATTATTTATATGTGGAAGAATTAGCTTGAATAATCGTCAACCGTTTAAACTAAAAATATAGTTGTCATATATATAATATACGTATGATTTATAGTGTTATGTGTATACTCGTATAAAATTAATATCTAATATGTGTATACCGGCTAAAATAAACAAATAATAAATTCGACAAGCTATATATTTAAGTAAAGATCTCACGGGTGGCTTAAAGGCTTCTTAATTTCTTAAGGATATATTTAGTAGAGGGTGTGGACTACCAAAAACATTCAATCAATTTTTGTTTATGCTAGTCTCACTTCTTTGAGTTGTTGATGTTATTTTTTAAAGTGACGTGTTTGTATCTTTTTGGCTTTAAGGGAGAGCAATTAAGTCTAAAATGTCAGTATTCATAAAAGAGAATGCATCTGTTAAAATGCCTTAGCTTGATGTTCCCTTGATCGCTTTTCAACAAAGACTGTTTTTTGTGTCCTTTTGTTACAAGAGGGACATCTCAACTACCCAAATTCCAAGCATGTTTTGAGGGGTAAAAAAGTTTTGGAGCAAATTAAATGAATTCTCTAAAGGTCATTAGACTCCTAGTTTCCTTTTATTCTTGCAGAATAAATAGATTTGAAAATTGGAAGATTACTTAAAAACTGCAAAACTTTTAACTTATACTCCCTTCGTCTCATATTAACTGTCGTGGTTACTAAAAATAGTTGTCTCTAATTATTTGTCATTCAAGACAAAGTTGATTGTTTTTTCCCTTTTCTACCATTAGTAATAATTATTCTTGAACATGGAGATAACACATACTAATAGAATAGGTATTCAATAAAGAGAGAGTATATCTTAAGACATAAATAATGGAAGAATAGTCCAATCCCTTTCCTAATTAATATTTCTTAAGAAGCGTGTAAAAAAGAAACACGACACATAATATGAGTGAGTACTTCCATCCGTTTTTAAAAACTGAACTTATTTCTTTTTTACTCAGTTTCAATAAGAATAAATTTTTTCTAAATTTAGAAATAACTTAACTTTAAATCCTTAAGAAAATTAATCCGGTGATAAATATTCTCCATCCCTTTATTATATTTTCAAATTTTCTTCCAATTCTGCTACAGTGTAAAACTAATCTGGTGAATATATCTAAATATTCTTCCAGTCTATTTGACGATTTTCATATAAAATGGGATTCCCTATATATTGATTCACTAAAAAAAAATTCCCGGCTATTAAATTGGATGCTCTTTGATATGTCAATCGCTTTCAAACTTAAATCATTGCTTCTTAAATTTTTTTACAGGAAAAGAAACACACACAGACGCATTGAAGCATGCATGAATGATAATTGCTAAATCTTAGTTTATACTTACTACTATATCTTTTTGATAATAAAATACAGAACTTGCTTCACAG